CAAGGCGTAGAAACTGGAAATGGAAATGATGCACAACAACCAGACAACGGAAATGGTGTACAACAACCAGACAATGGAAATGACGCACAACAACCAGATAATGGAAATACTGGACAAGGTGTAGAAACTGGAAATGATGCACAACAACCAGACAATGGAAATACTGGACAAGGTGTAGAAACTGGAAATGGAAATGATGCACAACAACCAGACAATGAAAATGGTGCACAACAACCAGACAATGGAAATGGTGCACAACAACCAGACAATGGAAATGATGCACAACAACCAGATGATGGAAACGATGCACAACAACCAGACAATGGAAATGGTGCACAACAACAAGACAATGGAAACGATGCACAACAACCAGACAATGGAAATGATGCACAACAACCAGACAATGGAAATGATGCACAACAACCAGATAATGGAAATGGTGCACAACAACCAGACAATGGAAATGATGCACAACAACCAGACAATGAAAATGGTGCACAGCAACCAGACAATGGAAATGGCTTACAATATCCTGGAAATTTGAATAGTGGAGAAGGACTAGAAAATGCAAATAGTGGACAAGGTGCTACAGTGATGTCACATGGATACGTATTCTCTATCTTGTTGCTATCCTCTATTCTTTTATCTTCTTTCGTCTTCTTTTGATTTTTAATTGATTTCCCTGATTTTTCTCTTTGTGCATATGTATTTTTCTATATCATATATGTAAAGTTACTGCATTCCTTATGAAATAAATTTAGTGTGCACTTACATCTAGGCACGCATATACATATGTAGATATGATTTAAGTGCTAACAGAATAAAGAGAAAAAGCTAACAATTTTCGACCCTGCAAAACAACATCACAAAACAGAAAAAAAATGATTAATTAGCATTATCATCAAGAAACAAGTATTAATTATGATTGAAATTAATTATCTTAATATGCGTATTCTACCAAAGCTTCTTAATGAAGAGAGTTGAAATTTTTTCACAGAGCCTTTTGAACAAAAAAAGACTCGAATAAATTTTTAAGGTTATATTGTTCAAATTAATATAAAACAATTATACTTCATTCATAGGTGAGAAGATTCTGTCTATGTAATGCTATGATTCATTATATAAAATATACTTTTGAGTAAGCCGTAGTTTTTGGATCTTTAAACAAGAAATCGATTTTGCACTTTTTTCGGAAAGTAAATTTTAAAGCAAAAGGAAGGGAAATCAAACTAAAATAAGCGTCTGACTTTTCGTTGGTTTCAACAATTATAAACAGAGATTCTAAGGAGAATTTCGTTCATCCATTTGTGTCTTTACATTTCATTTATTCATTTATCGTAATACTAATTGTTATAATTATAATACAGGATGGCCCAAAAGTCATGTTACCGAGAAAAAATTGAGTATCTCCATCACGGCTTGACCAAACAGGCTCATTTTTCCACCAAGGATAGAGGCATGTTCACACTCCAAGTCCATACGGGTAAGGTTAGTGAGAACCTTTGTTAAATATCACTATTAACCTCAACAAGAAAATTTTGCTTTTTCACATGTAGGAAAAAACCAGTATACAAGATGATGCAAAAGTCACTTGATCGAGAAGAAAATTGAATATCTCTATTGCAGCTCGAGCAAATGAGCTGATTTTTGTACCAGAGATAGAGGCATGCTCACACGCCAAATCTACTCGGACAAGATTAGTGAGAACCTTTGTTAAGTATATCGTTTTCTTTTCCTATCTGTGAAAAAGTAAAATTTTCTTGTTGAGGTTAATAGTGATATTTAACAAAGGTCCTCATTAATCTTATCCGTATGGACTTGGAGTGTGAACATGCGTCTATCCTTGGTGGAAAAATGAGCCCGTTTGGTCAAGCCGTGATGGAGATACTCAATTTTTTCTCGGTAACATGAGTTTTGGGCCACCCTGTATATTCATAACGGCTATCGGAACAAGATTTGAAGTTATAAAAAATAATAAAAAAACTACTGTCGCACACAATTATTACTAATTCATTGTCTTGTATATCGTCACAAGTTAATCGTTATATAAGTTGAAGATTAAATTTAAATACAAATAAAATGATTGATCCAACATTATTAGCAAACGCTCGAGTCGATGATTTACCAAATTTCTCTGGACATCCTTCTGAGGACGTCAAACGATTTTAAAAAGTATTAAAAATATTACAAAAGCTAATGATGAATCAGATAATCATGAAATTTTGGAAATTGTTCATGGTAAATGAACACAATCTGCTGGATTATGATTCGATAATGAGGAGCATAATCTTAAAAAATGATCAGATTTCGAAATCCAATTTCGAAATCGTTATTTTCCAACAATAATGGTTTCTAAAAATTTTGATAAATTGAAACAACGAACACAATCATGCGATGAACCTATTGCATCTTATACTGATGATATTATTAATTTATGCCGTGAAATTGATCCAACTATGTCCGACTCAATATTTATGCAACATTTAATGAGTGAAATAAACCCTGATTTCAGAAAAGAAATGTCTAGACATGTATCTTGTATGAATACATTAAATGAATTCTTAAAATACGCTAAAATCGAACCAGCTTTGTATGATACTTTTGAAAAATCTCGTCAATTATCTATCGAATCCAAGCAATCTAATTTTACATTTAATCATTCAAGAATTTCCACATTAACAACTATGATTAAACAACCGAAATTTCGATATCATTATATAAAACAGAATAGTCGTTCACATTTTTTATCATAACAGAGCTCTGTTCTTCAACATAACTCGATTTATCAACCTGAACCTCGATCAACATTTATACCAAATAAACAAATCCAAATTGATTCACAACAAAAAAACATTTAAAAATAAACATATTAATACTCAATTTACATCGCAAGAAAAACTTAATAATTGCAAAATTAGTGGTCGAAAAAATTATCGAACAATTGATAGTTTCTATAAACGTACG